AGCTAAAAAGGCCAATGCAATTTTAGGCTGCAACAACAACAGTAACAACAACAATCACAACAATAAATACTCCACCCTCTGTCAACTGATCGGGGTGGCTGATAGAAGTATAGTATCTAGATCAAGGGAAGTAATAGTGCCACTGTATTCTGTGTTGGTCAGGCCCCACCTGGAATACTGTGTCCAGTTCTGGACACCATATTTCAAAAAGGATGTTGAAAAACTGGCATGTGCCCAGAGGAGGGCGAGTAAAATGGTGAAGGGTCTGGAAACCATGAGGAACGATTTAGGGAACTGGGTATGTTTAGCGTGGAGAAGAAATGGTTAAGAGGGGATATGATAGACCTGTTTAAATATTTGAAGGGATATTATATTGAGGAGAGAGCTAACTTGTTTTCTGCTGCTCCAGAGAATAGGACCCGGAACAATGGATGCAAGCTACAGGAAAAGAGATTCTACCTCAACATTAAGAAGAACTTTCTGACAGTGAGAGCTGTTCAACAGTGGAACACACTCCCTCGGAGTATGGTGGAATCTCCTACTTTGGAGGTCTTTAAACAGAGGTTGGATGCCCATCTGTCAGGGGTGCTTTGATTTTGAGTTCCTGCATGGCAGGGTGTTGGACTGGATGGCCCTTGTGGTCTCTTCCAACATTATGATTCTATGATTCCTCTGAACAAATCTTGCCAAGAAAACCCCATGACAGGTTTGCCCTAGGGTTCCCATAAGATGGAAATGACTTGAAGGCACACAACCATGACATAGCCCCTAGTTAAGGACTACATAGGAACTGGGAAAGTCACCCAATCTCCAGTTGCTGGGAAGAAATCACTGTGATCAATGGGGGTCTGTACCCCTGTTGGTGGGGAATCAGATGACTGATGGTCTCTCACACCCACCGCCCACCCTGTAAGCATCAAGGGGAACTGCAGCTGGTGTTCTGCTTATGTCTGTTGCATAGGAGATTATTCATTGGAGAAGGTAGGAGCATCAGTCATCTGCTTCCCAATTGACAGGGAATCAGTGACTGTTTCCCAGTAAATGAGATGAGGAAAGAGGTTCAGGATGGGATTCACTGTGTAGCATCATTACTGTACACAAATCCAATAGGATTCTGGCCATTGCTATGTTTTCATATATATTTTAAAACCAGTATTTTATATGATAATTTATGTTTTAGTCATCAGGTTAGCAGCTTTATCTAATTTTAACCTTATTCTAAGGTACTTTGGGTTCCATGTTAACAGAAATTTGGGATGTACATTAAATAAATAAATATACCAATTACAGGGGTTGAGAACGTGCACAGAACCATGGGCACATGTAAAAAATGTACAGATTTTTTTAAAGTATACATTTGAAGAATGTGCACAAACATGCTTGTAATCAGTGGGGAAAATGGATGCAAAATATATACATTAGAAAACTGCTTCCTTTTCAGATACACAAACACAAAAATGTACACAAATTGCCACATGTCAAGGGAAAACAAAGTTTCCCAACATGGTATGGATCTGAAACTACACAACAATGCTTGTGGGATGCCAAGAAACAAGACAAGACTGAGACTGACAGAAATTCATGAACTTTATGCCAACAAAGTACGAATGCCACAATTTAAAATCTATTTATCCCTTACCAGGAGGAAACAAATGAATTCATTATTTATTCCAGGAGCGCCATCTCCTGGTGTAGTAAAAACACAGACTTTTCTAAGATTCTTGAAGAGCTAGCTGGCTGTACAGTACTTAAAAATAATATCTTGATTGACTTTTTTCTTTTCTTTTTTCTTTCTTTTTTTTAAAAAAAAAAAGATATTTGCAAACAAAAGAACTTGTGGAGGCATTTCAAAGAGCAGAACTAAGTTGGAGAGGCCTGGAGTGAAGAAAAAGTATGTATCTTTCTTTTTTTCTCTTCCCCCCCCCCCCAAACATTTCAGGCAGCATTAATACAGTAAGAAAATGCTTTATTTATTTGTTAATATATGCCCTGTGTTTCTGTCCAAAAAAGGTGCCCATAAATCTGCATTTTCTGTACCACATTCTTTGCAACTTCTTAATTATTCTATGAGTTCTGGTAGGATTGGGAGGGCAAACCCATTATTATATGGCTGTTAAAATATATCTGTATATGGTGAAAACCAATACAATATTCAAGTTTGACTGAGCTCATCAAATATAAATTCAGAATTGTCCATCATCTGCTTTCTTACCATGTTTTAAAAGATTTAGGAATTCATTGTTCATAAGCCTTTTTAAAATTTGGTATCCACCTAATGTCAAGATAGAAAATTATCAGCCTGAATCTTATTGGCAATCCCAACTACAGTAAACCTATTGATTACTTTGTTGAGTCAAAAATATGTGTAAATCCCCGTGATTCAATGGGTCTAATTCTAGCTGGCAATAACTACAGAGTTTAGGTCCTAGTATCCACAAAATAATCCTCTTACATCAGCTGTTGGATTTATTTGTTGCATATTGGATTTTTTTTTTAAAAAAATATACCTTAATAGTTCTGGAAAGGAATAGTTCCACATTCAGGAAAGGAAGAAATTCTGCAATATATTACCACCATAACATAGAAGCCTTTGTTCTCTGATTTCCTTCTGCATGAGAAACTGGTTATCGTGTGTCAAAAACTACTGCTAGAAATGTGATTTAAAAGGGGGAAAACCCCCAAACACCTCAGATCAATAGAACTCACACACCAGAGAAACTGAAAAGAAATTGAGAGTACAACAGCTCTCCTCCCACTCAAGTAATTACACAAAAGAAACATTTGCTTAATTTAACAATTTAAATAATAATAGGAAATGTGTGTATGTCAATAACATTTGGAGGGCCACACAGTTTATACAATTCATAAAATATATACTTTGTGCATGTATGTGTACCTGCATGTATACACACACATACACTTGCATGACTGTTGTTGAAGTCGTAGGCTTTCATGGCCGGCATCCATAGTTTTTTTGTGGGTTTTTTTTCGGGCTGTGTGGCCATGTTCTAGAAGAGTTTCTTTCTGACGTTTCGCCAGCATCTGTGGCTAGCATCTTCAGAGAAAAACTTTTTTTTCTCTGAAGATGCTAGGCACAGATGCTGGTGAAACGTCAGAAAGAAACTCTTCTAGAACATGGCCACACAGCCCGAAAAAAAACCCACAAAAAAACTACTGTTGTTGTTGTTGCCATTACCTGCCCTCAAGTTGATCCCAATTCATGGTGACCCTGTGGATGAGACATTTCCAAGACCCTTGTCCTCTACTGCTCTGCTTAGGTCTTGTAGATTCAAGCTCATAACCTCCCTCATTGAGTCTATCCATCTGGGGTGTGGTCTTCCTCTCTTTCTATTGCACTCTACCTTTCCTAGCATTATTGTATTTTCTAATGAGTTCTGAATTCTCTTGATGTGG